TCCTCATACATTTCCTCCACCTTCTCATCGGGGTGTGCCGAGGTTGGTGCGTAAACCTGTATGACCTTCAGCGATTACCGTTTGGTGATTCTGAGTATAAGGTATGCAACCCTCGTCGACACACTCCCGATCTTTACAACGTTGTTAACGAGAGACTTGTGGACGATAAATCCGACACCTCCTTGGGACAGATGGTCGCCCTCCCGGTGATAGAGCAAGTTGCCGGATTCGAGGATTACCGTGTCCTCCCCCTCTCTTCGGACTTCGGATAATCCTATAATATGCCAGCGCAACTTGTCTATCTCTTCTTCCAGCTCCACGATCTTCTCGTCAGTCCTCAGGGTGCGTGCGTTGTACGTTGCCAGGTCGAGTCGTCTAAGGTGGCAACCGAACCTCCACCGGAGATTCTTAGCACCCCCTGCCCCGCCGTTACCATTGTCGCCACCGTAGCCAGGAATAGCGGGGCCGCCGGGGACTGGGGGCCGTCTGTTTGTTGCTTTAGTCATTGGGGGGTATTTGCCATAGTTGCCACGCTTGGCGAGCGGGTTGGCAACCGCAGTTTTTTTATTGTAATTTTGGCTATTATCAGGAAGATGCTGCTGCCCATCTCCTGCCTGTTTCCCTTTGTCGCCTTTTACGACACCCACGGGAGGATATGGAGTAGTGGATATTCTTGACCGCCACTACACGGCAATTTTCATTTACAATTATATATTTATACTGCCCAACCTGATGAGAAAACTTTATAGATAACCCTATAATAATTCTAATATATATATATATATATATATATATATATATATATATATATATATATATATATATATATATATATATATATATAGCCCAACCAGATGAATACACTACAGAGATACCCCACATAATAAATCATTTATTTCAGACCAATTATTCATATTTGTTACAAAATATAATTTAAATACCTATAATATTAAAGAAAATTAAAATTAATAAATATAAACATTAAATAAATTTAAAATTTAAATTAAAATACTACTCTAGGTCGTGGCGTGTCTAATTTACAGTATGCAGATTTATACAACGCCCTAACATTGGTGAATTCCATCTGTTTGCTAGTACACTGAGAGTGATGTTGGTGCTCGTCCGCATGCGATTCAGCATGGCGGCACATCTTTTGTGCAATATGGCTTCAAACCCATCAACATGAGCCTGTCCAAACATGCCAGAAGCGCTACAATACCGAGGCTACCCCATTATAATTCTCAACGCGTTATTGTATTGGACGCGTAGATAGTAGATACTGTACACTGTATGCCCTCCGTGTATAGTTAACCCATATGCTGCATGTATGGAAGGACTGACAATATGCTTTGAAATCGTAACCTTAACCTGTTTTGTGCAGCGTGCCAACCTTCGAGCCAACATATTACATCGGACAGCCAACGACTTGCGCTCCCGCTCTATATCAGTATTATCAGTTAGATTTTCGGTAACCCAGTGGCCCAAGCATTTAAATTTCTATACACTATTCAGACTACTACCACAGAATGTGACATTTGATAGTGAGTAGCACTTGCTTCCTGATTTGAAAATCACTATTTCACTTTCTCTGTGTTGTACTTGAGCCCGTGGGCCCCGGCGTAAGACTCACATATCCTTATCAGTCTTTTCAATGCACCGATTGATGGGCTTAACAAGACTATGTCGTCTGCATAGCTTATATTATTGATGCATACACCGTCAATATGACATCCGACTTTGGAGCTTCTAAGCTCTTCGATCAATTGATTCATATATAGATTGAAGAGACGAGGAGAAGTCAACCCACCCTGTCTTACCCCACACTCTAAAAAGTACTCTTTGAAAAGTGTTTTTGCCCATCTCACACAATTTTACCAATTGTACCAATATTGCAATAAAGATATAATCTCTTGGGGTAAACTAGTGTCATGTTGTAGCTTTTGCCACGGTTCATTACGATATCATATCAAATGCTTTTGATAGGTCCAAATAACAGGCATATACCAGTATTTTTCTCGCTGTATAATATTGTACAGTCTGTTTGAGGTACAATATAGTACTTTCTATTGAAAGTTTAGGCCTAAAGCCATCTAAATTTCATATATCAAATATCATACCATCATCGATCCAAACATCGATGTTTTCATTTTTGACATCGATGACGATGATCGTCGAGCATCCCTACTCCCTAGTCTATGGTACTGTACGTTAAACATCGATAGTTTGGTAATCCGATAGTATCGATAGTTTAACTAAAAACTATCGATAGTATCGATAGTCTATCGATAGTTTAAAAACTTGTAGGATTAGCGTAACATCAATAAAATAACAAATGTTATACGAAACGTAGAATTTTATTTTGATATATATATATTCGAAATAACAATCAAACAATCAAAAATCAGTATTCATCATTATTATAGTTAGAAATCAATCATTAAAATAACAGCTATTTTGTTTTATAAACAACAATTCATTTAATCTTTTTTCTTTTAACCTATTTCTGCGTTCGGTTAAAATTTGTCCGGCCTTCGAAAATATTCGTTCTGAAGGCACAGAAGATGCTGGAATACAGAGATAGAGCATCGCTAATTCCTTCAATTTATTGTTGGTGTATTTCCAGTATGTTATAGGACACTCTTTTCTGTCAATTACTGGCTTCTCGAGATATTGCCTGACATCTACCAATGAGTTACTCAACGGGGTCGATACGTCCGGAACGTCTAGAAATCCCAACAGGTCATTAGATGTTCCTGAAGACGTGGATGGTGTTGGTTGCGTTTCTTCTACAGCCAAGCGTTCTTTAGTTAAATGGCTAGCATAGGCCTTTTCCAGCCACTGACCAGCTCGCTTCTCGTCGTCACTTGTTTTGAACCCCTTCTTCTTAAATCTGGGGTCCAATATTGTAGCAAGTACAACAGGTGTCCTGCTTTCATAGGGACTTAGTCTTTTGTCAACTGATCCCTTCATGCAGAGTAATATTTTGTTTCCGCTTTCAGTAACAATTTGAGATTCAACTTCTACTAATTTCGTTTTTATTCCACGAATCAATGGTATTATCAGTGACAATGTTATATAGCTTTCTCCGGAAATTTTTGTTGTAGCTAGATCGAAAGGTTCCAGAATTTGAATTGTTTCTTGAATAATTAGGTATTCGTCAGCATTGACTCCTGGTGGAGCCCGATTACATTCATTAAGTGCGAGAGTTAATTCTGTCTTCATTGTAACAATTCTTTGCAGCATGTGGTATGCACTGTTCCAGCGGGTGGGTACTTCCTGGATCACTTTCAGTTCTGGTTTATTTAATTCACGTTGAATAGCCCGTAATTTATCGCTAGCTAGAGTACTCATCTTGAAAAAAGTCACAATCGATTTACATTTTTTCAGAATCTGGTCTAAGCAGGTCACAGCAAACGAATCACTTACCGTCAGGTTTAGTGTGTGCGCAAAGCAGGGTATATGTCGTATATGCAGTTTGGCTGCGGCGTTAATCATTGTTTGAGCGTTATCAGTCGTTATTGCTTCACATTTTGACCTGATATCCCATTTTGAGAGAGTAGCATCCAACATCTGAAAACAATAATAATATTGTTTATGTCTGATTATAAAGAAACACTGAATTGGTAGGTATCAAGGCAATAAAATTTAAAAATACTTACACTGGCTATATTTTCTGCGTTATGACTTCCTTCCATCTTCACAACTTCCAATAATGGTGCAATTAATTTTTCGTTGTGAAAGAAATGACAAGTAACTGAAAGGATGCCTTCATTTGCAATTGATGTCCATAAGTCAGTAGTCACACTAACATGTTCTGCTTTCGATAATGCTATGACGAGCTTCTGTTTCACGTTTTCATAATATTCCGGCAGTAATTTCTTTTTCAATATTGTTGTATCAGGAATTTCATATCTACTATCGAGAGCATTTACAAAATCCCGAAATCCTTCATGTTCTCCTTTTCGCAAAGGTTCCATGTCAACAGCAATCATGCGCACGTATTTGTTATCCAAATTTTGCTTTGTTTTCCCATCTGGATATTTACTACTTCTATCAAAATAATTTTTTAGCGTATTTCTCTTTTTAGGGCTTGGGCCCATTTTCTCATTTTGCTCAGTGGTATCTACGTCTTGAGTAACAGAAACAGTGGATGACCACATCCATACCTCATTATGTTTTCTCTTCATATGATCGATCAAGTTCGTAGTATTTCCACTTAGTTTAAACTCTCTTTTACACAAAGAACACTTGGCAAACTTTTCATTAGTCTTTTTGAAGTAATCCCACGCACGTGACTTACTACTCATGTTTTATTGTTTAATTCTAAATTGTTTGTTACTCCACTCAACTTCAAACATCCACAATAAAAAACTGACTGACTGACTTTTGTCTTGTAAATGAATGATATACGCCTGGTACGCCTTTGAATGTATGATATACGCACGGTAATTCCCCTACCATAGAGAACAATCTCAATGTCTATACCTTTGTCACTATAGCCGGGGAATAACTTACATACATGCATACCTCGACTCTAGGGATGTAAAAGTAGTACCCGAGTAAACAATCGATCGATAGTTTTAAAAACTATCGATAGTATCGATAGCCATTTACTATCGATACCATCGATAGTCTATCGATGTTTAACGTACACTAGTCTATGGTTCAAATTTGCAGTCTCAATCTCAAGCAAATGTTGTTTGATTGATAGTTTTTTGACTTTGTAATGAATAATATTTTAGAAAATTGTCTACAAAATGAGTTCTTTACTAATTTTTAATCATTGTCATTAAATTGAAACTGTAACTAGTCCGTCGCAACTTTTTGCGGTAAGAATAAACAACTTTTTTGGTTGGATCTACTTGTCGTTCATTATGGCGGTCTGATTACATTACTTTATGTTTGATGACATGTTTCTTGTTATTTATATCTAAAAGCGAAGTTAAAGCTGTTGCGGGTGTTTTAAGTGTTTGTTTTTTTTATAACAATATGTGTTATAGATGGACGTTCCCGACGAAGGTGTTTTAGATGTGGATTTACTCCCTGACGATGGATCAGACGATGAAGGTGAAGCGCCGCCGTCCTCTGGTATGAATTTTAACATTATAATTTAATTATTTACATTTTTGTATGTTTTTGTATCTACAGGGCATAAAATTACTACTATGAAATTTTATGTGTTGCTTGTTTATAACAACCACCATAATCATATCCAGCATTTGGAACCAATGGTAAAACTGTATCAGTAATTATTAATTAAAAAAGGGTTTTTGTAATACTTTTCTTTAGTAATACACAAAGTTCTCTTAACTTATATTTTTACACTTATAAATACAGTGTAAACTCTATATAGCGACACTCTGGGGACTGTGCATATTTTGACGTTACAGAGAGTTGTCGTTGAATGGAACTAAGAAAAATCTGTATTAGAAAAAGAAAAAGTTTATTTCAGATCAGTGTTACTAATTACATAAAAACAATTGTGTATAATCTGTTATTTTCATCTGACGTCTTTTGCTGCACTAGTAATTGTGTTGTATTTTTTACTTATTTTATTCATATCTTGCGATATTGAGTAATCTTGGTGATAAAGAAAGTACTTTTTCAATAATTTTGCTGCTTCAAAAGCTTCTTTAATGCACGGCGGAGGCTCAGGCTCATCTTCATCTCATTGTTCTTGATCCTCAGTTTTTCTTACCGAATATAAAATTTCTTTGTCTGTGAGTAAAGCCGTTGTAAGCAAGCAGTCATCTACTTTGATGTAGGTTTGAAGATTTTTCTGCCATGTTGAATTATTGAATCTACTCAGTTAATGGAAGGTCGTTGTAGCTATCAAACTCCAGTTCCGTTTCCACCTCATTAGTCATAGAATTTGTACAAAGTCCAGCATGTTAAAAAAAAGTGCAGTATAGTTATGGGTGTCACTTCTTCCCAGGATTTAGATAAATAATTTAATGCATGCAGTATATTAATAGAAGTTTTACCATTACATTTGACTAGCTCCATCAATAATTTCCTTCTGTAGTGACCCTTGATGCTTTTAATCATTGCCCACTCTGTTTTGAAGATTTGATATAAGAGGGTGGGCAGGGCAGTTAATTTATTTTTGTTTACGACGGGCTGTATTCTGCAACTCCATGTCAAGGCGCGTATTTTGCGTGTGGGCACAGATAATGTAATTATTCGAGCCATGAGTTCTCCCCGAAGAAGTTCCACAGCTTTTTGATGTTGCATGCTGATATTCAAAGATTTATTGTTATTCTATTTGGGGGTACTTGTTTACTTTGTTCATTAGTAAAGTAAATTGAATGTAGGTAATTTAATATTCACTTATGACACTTGTCTTTTGTAATGCTACCAAGCTTAATAGATAACAATATTCAACTAATGTGTTTTATTCTATATTCTGAATATATTAGTGGCGACGAGTGGTGAAAAGTGTTAAAAATGAATATAAAATCAGTGAAATTCGATGAGTACAATCCTCATACAGATAGCTGGGACAATTATCTAGACTGTTTAAAATTTTGTTTTGAGACTAAAGGCGTCATATTATATTCTACTAAAATAGCAAATTTTTTCACAGTGTGTGGTTCACGAGTTGACGAAACATTACTTGCATTAATTACTCCAAAAAAAGGGGTTGATGTGACATTCAGTGAAATAGAAATAATTTTAACAAATCATTACGTGATGAAGATGCTTCAGAATAAATTACTCATTTACGTAAAACTAAGTTCAGGGTGTAACTTTACTGACTTAGAAAGAATGTTACGGGATAGACTGGTTTGCGGTATGTGTGATAGTAAACTGCAATATGAGTTATTGAAACGAGACAATTTGTGTTATCAAGATGTAGTCGATGTGATGTTATCAGTCGAAAGTGCAGGGCGAGATGTTCGTATGATTCAAGGCAACACTACAGGAGCTATGACTCAGTCAGAACTAGCATTACCATACAGTTAGCGAGTGGTATAAGTGAACCGATGGATATAAATGCTGTACAATCAAGAGCAAATGTCCCCTTTTGTTATCGTTGCAGTGACCTCCATTCAGGAGAATGTCGTTTTGTAAATACAGTGTGCCGGTATTGCAAGAAAAAAGGACATTTGGAGAAAATTTGCATAAGTTAGAAGAAGAATTCTTCTCAGCAAATAAAGTTTATATCAGAAGCAGATGATCATTTAAATGGAGTTTATTGCGTTCATATAGCCGTGTTCCACCATACGAAGTTGAGTTGTCACTTGCAGGCGTCACCAATCCATATGCAAGTTGATACAGGAGCTAGTTTTACTCTAATTAACGAGCAGACGTGGCACATACTACACTCTCAATTATCGGATGCTGTGTTGCAACCTATTGCAATATCGTTGCAAACCTGGGTCAAACTTCTTGGGCAAATTACGTTGCTTGTGTGTTACAAGAATATTTCGAAGGACCTATGTGTTATTGTAGCGTAGGGTAATAGGCCCAACCTTCTGGGTCGAGACTGGCTGAACCTTCTTAACATTACTATGAATGTCAATTTTGTTTCCAGTGCTGAGTTATTGGAAATGGATAGTGTATTATTGAAACATAAAGAGGTATTCAAAGATGCACTTGGTACCTACCGTGGACATCCAGTAACAATACACATTAAACCAGGAGTTATCCCAAAATTTGTAAAAGCGCATCCTGTACCATTAGCTATAAAGCAAAGAGTAGAGATGGAAATAGATCGTCTGGAAAGGGAAGGAGTTTTACGTCCAACGACTTTTTCGGAGTGGGCCACACCAGTTGTGCCAATACGAGAGCTGCACTAAAAGTATCGGGAATAGAATATTTCCACTGTTCCTGTCATATTAAAATCTTTTTAATTGATAAGTCCTTGGGTTTAAAAATCGAATACCATTTATTTATTTAAAAAAAGATTCTCAGTCTTGTCACAAGGTTTTGTCAAACTTGTTTAGTCGTTGAGAAAATGGAATTGACTCGACAAAATTCAAGAGCAATGATTTATCATGACTTTCGAAGTGGTTTAACACAAAAACAGTGTGTTGACCGGATGATTTCGGCATTTGGTGATGGAGCCCCATCCAAAACCACAATTTATCGCTGGTTTGCTGAATTTCAACGTGGACGTGTCAAGCTCAGTGATGATCCCCGTTAAGGTCGTCCAAAAACTGCAGTCACTCAAGAAAACGTTGATGCTGTGCGTAAGCTGATTGAGGAAGATCGACATGTGACATACCGCGAAATTCAGGCAAATTTAGACATTGGCATGAGTCAAATGCAAATAATCTTGCATTAACAATTAGGTGTAAAAAAGTTGTTTTCCCGATGGATACCGCATTCGCTCTGTGAAGAGCAAAAAGCGGCTCGCGTTACTTGGTGCGTCAGAACTCTCGAAAGATTCCACGCAGGATCCTCAAATGCTGTATACAACATCGTATCAGGTGACGAATCCTGGATATACGCGTACGAACCCGAAACAAAAAACCAGTCACGAGTTTGGGTGTTCGAAAATGAGTTAAAGCGAACAAAAATTGTTCGTTCACGGAGTGTTGCAAAAAAAATGGTGGCCACGTTTGTCTCCAAAACCGGCCATGTTACGACTATTCCTCTTGAGGGACAAAGAACGGTTAATGCAGAATGGTATGCTAGCATTTGTTTGCCACAGGTCGTTTCTGAACTCCTTAAAGAGAACTGCAACCGCCGCATCATCCTCCATCACGACAATGCGAGTTCTCACACCGCACACAGAACAAAAGAGTTTTTAGAGCAAGAAAACATAGAATTATTAGACCATCCGCCGTACAGCCCCGACCTAAGCCCTAATGATTTCTATACTTTCCCTAAAATAAAGAATAAATTGCGTGTACAGAGATTTTCATCACATGAAAAAGCTGTGGACGCCTACAAAACGGCCATTTTGGAGACTCCAACTTCCGAATGGAATGGTTGCTTCAATGATTGGTTCCATCGTATGGAAAAATGTGTCAAATTTTGCAGAGAATACTTCGAAAAGCAATAAATAAATTTTTAAATAGTAATGTTGTGTCACTTCCTTGATACCCGAAATTTTCGGTGCCGCCCTCGTAATAAAAAAATCTGGTGAGATTCGTTTATGTGGAGATCACCGCAGTACAGTTAATGAAGCAAAAGAGTCTGATATTTATCCCATACCCACGACAAATGAAGTCTTCGCTACCATAGCTGGAGGAAGATTTTTCACAACTTTAGATCTAGATAGAGCTTACACACAAGTAGTTGTGGATGATAATACGTCAAAGCTTCTAACATTAAACACGTGCAAGGGTTTATATACAGTGCATAGGTTGGCCTTTGGAGTAAAAGCATGTCCAGGAATTTTCCAGCGCTTAATGACTTCTTTACTGACTGGTCTTCCAGGAGTGGTAGTTTTGATAGATGACATAATCATATGTGGTCGTACTATGCTAGAAATGCAAAAAAGATTAGATTTAGTACTAGATCGAATTGAACGGGCAGGATTACGCTTAAATAAAATGAAATGTCAATTTGCTAAAGAAAATGTCGAATTTTTAGGCTATGTTATCGATTCTGAGGGAATACATCCTGCACCAAGTAAAGTCGAATCTATAGTAAATACTCTAGCGCCCACAAATAAGAACTGCAAGCATTTCTCGGGTTGTACAATTTTTATGAAAGGTTCATACCTCATAAAGCGACAACACTTGAACCATTGCATCGATTATTAGACTCTTCACAGACATGGACATGGGTAGCTTACTCGCATTTGATTTAACTCTAGTTCATTATGATGTAAATAAGCCAGTAGTTCTTACCTGTGACAGTTCAGAATATGGGGTAGGAGCAGTATTGTCACATGAAATGGAGGATGGCCAAGAACGGCCAATAGCAATGGCATCGAGAACCCTTCATGCACATGAACGACGTTATTCTCAGTTAGATAAAGAAGCCAAATCAATTATGTTTGGCATTAAAAAATTTCATGATTACCTCATGGGTCGAAATTTTCGGATAATTACTGACCACAAACCATTGCTTGGTATATTTAACCCTAAAAAACCAATGTCAAATATGTTGTCTCCTCGATTAACGAGGAT